CCTTTTTACTTGCAATGACACCCTGCTTTCCTAAAAATTATAATCTGTCCTACCAGTTCAATAATACAGACTTCCAAAAAGCGCACTGATTCAAGTCCGTCTGAACTCACTAGTGGAGTGCAAGTCTGCAGTTCTTGCTAAATGAGCACTATTACATAATTTTTACACTTTCTGTCATCATTTAGCATAATTTCTCATAAATAAATTGCCCTCTGATCAGGCAAGTCCGACCGTGCTTCATTCGCTCAGCTAGTTTCAGAGATTCAGAAGCTACTTTTCAATACTAGAAGCACTTGAAAAGGACGTCTCAGAGCCTTCTGAGAAGGCGAATCCTCGGTTCTTGAAAACGCGTCTCAAATTATCCACATCAATTTGCACTCCAGGGCGAGGAGGGAGGCGAAGTTTCGGATCGAACTTTTCGTGGTGGAATATGAGTGCCCATCCCCGTATATTGTCTCCCACTTCCTTAATCCTGTAGCGTTCCATCTTTTCCGGTATCTCCGGTTCCCAGAGGCCTTTGAAACTAAATATAAAATCGCCAAAAAAATACTTCAATCGAAAAATCTGTTATCTTTTACATGGAATTTTTGAGAAATAAAATAATTCTTGGAATTAGCATTTATCGTACGTGCGTATATTTATTTGTACCATAACCCTCATCAGAGGAATGTCGCAACTGCTTTGCCACAAGGTGCATTTCTCCATGGCCTAAAGGTACCACAACTTTTTGGAAAAATGCTCTGATATAAAATGAATAATTGCTGTTAGTGAGTGTTTACAAGTTTCGTAGAAAATATCTGACTGTAGTACTTACGTTACGCGGGAGATTTAAATTTGGTCTGATAAAGATTAATAATACTGGCATGGAAACAATAAATTCCCATTGGAGAATGCACTGTGGGTGGGAAATAGCGACGGATCCGAAGAGTTAACTATAGGTGTCATTCGAAACCTGGTCGCGATTACTAATGGGCCGAGAGCTCAAAAAGTTCTACCATGTTCACATTATAAGGCCTAATTTCAGCGATAAGAATAGCATAGTACTGAATGCCTTCCTGGGCTGTGTGCACACAACCAACAATGATAGTATGAGGCATTGTCGGCTACTGACGTTGCTGCTATTCTAAATTCCATTCATGCATGAAGCACATGAAGTCTTGGGAAAGGAAGTTTACTGATTTGGAAGTAATAAAAGTAGTGAAGATGGGCATGTAAGTAGTTCAATATTTTTAAAGAACAAAGATGGCACTAGTGTCATATTTACCAGTGCCATATTCTCATACATATATGAATGGGAACCACATGGGAAGTGGTTCTTTTGAAATACACCATTCTATAATCAATAGCCATTGCTGCCTTATGTGCTAAAATGCAATATAGTGGCATGAAAGAGAAATTCAAATGGGGAATCCTTTCTTTCACAGCGATTGACCCTACCGGAAAGCATTCTAAATATGACAACGTTCTCAAATTTTAGGAAAAATCGAATCTGTAAAGAAAGGCCGATATTTGCCGTTCAGTACGGTCTCATACAGGAAAGTAAACTAGAAAGATTTAATCGGAATGGAGTCATGATATTTTTATGAGATAAAAATGTACACGAAATTCAAACGTTTCTTCCATCTATCATGGAAATTAGGAAGTTCCAAGCAAGGTATATAGATGCGAAGCATCAGGTGGTGACGACAGCTCAAATGAGCGCCATGTTTAGTCCAAGACCGGCCTGCCTTCCCATTCTCTACCTCCCTACAGCCACGAATGCGATCATTTTTGCTCTGGGCAAAGAGAGGGAAAACTCGAAAAATATGCCTATCACCTTTCTCAATCGAGACCTCCCCTCCTTCATCTCAAAATCCGTTGATTTTCATGAAGACGTGAATTACAGTTGTGCCGACGTGACTCTTCCTTCCGCCTTATATCATTGCTTATTCCATTCTCCTTCAATAGTGGGTTGGTTAGATTTCAGGTCAGGCAGATGAATCGGCCTGACCTGATCATGAGGGCCTACCAGATAATAAGTAATGGAGTGGCCAATTGTGTGCCTAGCCTAGTGCTGTTGTTGGCAGTTCCATCATCATCAATTTAATTGGATGAGAGAAGGGGCCATGAAATGCAGGTTTTAATGTGACATTCCCTTAAATTTAGTCACAACTCATCACATATCTTTGCTCCAAGTGAACTTCCCCTCAAGAGTACAGCTTTTTTCATCTTGATTGGAGCATGAAGGAATCTATCTTCTTTAATTTGGCTGCATTAAAGAATGGAAAATAATATTGATGTTGGTACTGCGACTATGAGTTTCTTGAACTGTTCTATACAAGAATTAAATCTGACAGCAGCTAGAGATGAGGTGCATGTAATTCCTTGACAGTTTCATTTTTAAAGAAGTAATTTTTGCCACACTCCAAAATATATTTGTAAGTGTGATGTGAGGGTGTCTTCAGTTGCAACGTTTTCAACTATCAGAGACACTAAGGGGATCCCAATATCTAATGTCATAGATTTCACCTTCTTGGTAGGATATAAATTGGAGCATCCTGCTTATTAATGAGGAGTGTAATGGATCTGCTACAATCTGATGCCCTTAAGATATTTAAATGATGCAATGCATCCCTGCAGTTCCTTTCTTTCTTTCCATTCCTGATACTGCAAAGAACCCTAAGGAGCCCCCACACTCAGTAGTTAATGAATCGCTTTAAAAACATTGATGGTAATTATCTTTTGCATGTTCTTCAGGCATTTACAGACTTTTTGAGTACATTTCCCCTTCCTCGATAGTTTTCACATTCCTCAGAAATATTCTATAGTCAATGGCATGAATACTTTATTTTTTCATTATTCAATGTGATCAGGAGATCATCTATCACTGTGACATTGAAGGAATTCTTCATATCAAATAAAATCGCAAAAGTATCAAGAAGCACCAAGCAAAAAAACATTTTGCAAATTATGAAGCTACACTACAGATACTATCCAATCAATTAACTGCCACAAATAAATTAATCTTGGGAAAACTGCAAGGAGCAAGATCAAGAAGGCCTAGGTCTGAACAAAAAGAGGATTTTAAAGTTCAGTTCAAATCATGGGCTCCATGGCCAGAACCTTCCCACCTAAAATTCGATGCTCGCGGATCATGTCTTTTTCGAATCTGCAGGAGACTTGAACAAATGGGGCCCATTTCTGCTCCTGTTCGAGGAGTTAGGGACCGAACACCGTGACATCTCAATGCAAAGTAGGAGGAACGGGGCCATCAGCATGGACTAAAGATGGCTCCATCACAGCTTATCATTGTGACCATGGCAACGTCGGCATTGGTAGATACGCTTGGCCCATTAATGACTGGCTTAGCCAGCCATTTTTTGGCACTTCATTGGTGGAGAACATAGGCCTTGGTTTCCCATTATCACCGCAATATTTTAAAATACCCTAGCCCAACAAAGTCTCCAGGTTGGCTTGCCATTATTGGCTAAACATTCGGCTAAGACGTTGACTCAATGAAGGCTCATGGACCCATGAACGGATTTTTAGCATGAATTCATCCCTCAAACGATTCAGTCCCATTAACACCTTGTGATCCTCAAACGAGGATCACCAGGTATTAGTGTTCCAATAGTGATAATCATTCCTTCCTGTGATCTTCACACACTTCTTTGCATATAATCCCCCAAAGACATGTAGAAGCGGACACGCAAGTTCATTATTTAAATTAAGACGCTGAAATAATCATTGTAAACTGTGTTCACTTTGAGGATTTGTTTGGTCCCATTCATATCTACATTTGGGCACTAGGACTTGAATTAAGTCCATTTGACAAACTCTTTCCAAGGCTACACCATGGGAAAATACGAGATTCTGCAAAAGCGGCCCAAACCAATTCACATTCCCGCTCCGTTGAAGGAAGTGTGCATGGAAATGGCATTGATCTAAGAATCCGCAAGTGATGGCTAGTCCGCTCTAAATAACGATGTCTAGGGAAAATTGTCTTACCTGTTTCCCTGTTGGAATGTAATGTATAGCAAATTTGCATCCACAAGCGTACAGGCAGGCATGAAAACGTATTCTTCCATATGGCCTATGACCTGGAAAAGCATAGACCAAGAGGCCTCGTGTCCCAAGTTTAAGCAGCAGGGTATTCGGTCAGATAGGCAGAAAAGTTCCTGGATGTGAAAGGGTCAAGATTGTTGTTGGTCTGATCGTCTGTCCGAGAGGTAGACATAGGCTTGCCAAGTCAGTTCCGTCAGGGCACATTGTTGAACTTTATCTATAGTACGGAATGCAACAACTATTTGATTTCCATTCCGCTTCCTCGAAGGAATAAAGTGTAATACAATAGTAATACTGTAGAACACACCCGCGTTCCGCGGTATCCGCTCGAGGGTAACAAAACGTCAACAGACAATATAACTCTCGGTTTATTTTTAATTGGCAGTAAAAGGAAAATGTAATAAGTAAATGGATAATGTTCAAATTCACAAAGTGCTACGTTTTGGATGAATGGCAGATGTCTTACGTCATCAGGGAACTCTAAACTGGATATATGCACATTGTTAGTGAGTTCCGCCTCGTACCATTCAAGCGAAACATGTAGCTGATCGGGCGGTAGCTCGGTTGGTAACAGGTTTATTATTGGCTCCAGGTGAATACGTTATCAGAGGTTATGCGTTATCCAGCCACATAGAGATACTGGAGGAACGTAATGATTCATGAGAGCACATAATAGGCCAGCACGAATGCGACGTCATGGGATCGCACGAAACATCAGCAGAGCCGCTTATAAGAGGGACGAACCCAGAGACCCCGAGTTTTGAAGTCTTGTGGCCTAAGCTGACTGTGGGCCAAACCGACCGGCCCACGAGGGAGTCGGCAAAGTCCCCTGCTTAATCGAATTTCCGGTTGAGTACGACCACGATTAAAAATTGGCCAATCAAGTCGAGTTCGAAAAAGTCGACCCGTGCATGCCTCCGACGTCCAAACACACGGAGGATTTCCGCTATAATAATATGCAGGGTGTATAAGTAACTCCCTGTCTCGAAAAGCTTGCTAACGTAACATGGTGCAAGAGATATATAACATGAAAATACTGCATGAATTGGCAATAGTGAGACATGCTTCAGCATGTATCACTATTGCGAGTTGACGTATGAGTATGTCATATTAATGTTTTCATATAAATGTTTATTTCTACGAGGGCAACCCTTGTATTTCCTTTTTCCACCTATGCCCTTCTTGTCCCCAGCAGAAATGCTTTGCCAGCACTACATCCCTTAAACAGTCCATTTCCAGCGATATGAGTTATTTTTCGATTTTGACGTCTTGATCCTCTCTTTCGAAGCCCATAAATCCAATGCAATACTGTTTTGCAGGTGTATAGGAGAGAGTAGGGCGGCATGGGTCACGGGGTACCACGTATCAGGCTGTTCATAGGTCTCCCAGCTCTGTGTCTCTTCATGCTGTCTGCTGCTGATGTGCTTCAAGCTGAGGTGCCTGGAAAGTGCAGTTGAAAAAAGGGTAGTTCACACCCAAAGAGCTAATTATGCTGATGCTTTTCTGTAGAATACGCTTTTTCGTTTTTGTGGACAGTGAATTCTCAATATTTGCTATTTACTTGTTTTCATGAAAAGTCTTGATTCTTTAAGAAATTTAATTCTGGAGATCTGTAGTTCAATGCCTGCACGTATGAGCTAGAGTCTCGACTTACTTTGGTTTTAATCCTATACGTTATAAACGTAATGAAGCTACATGCGTGCGTATGAAGCCTCTGATTTAGCCTAGTAATCGAGTGATCAAAAACCACTTTCGCATTCAGACGCCTACTGGGTTCGATCCCCATTAAATACGAAATTTATTTTTAAAAATAAGGCACGAAAGGGCACTAATGAGTTGAGAATGACTGCGTAGAGGGTTTGAAAATTTACCGCGAGCATGCAATACAAGGACTATTTCTTTCTTCTGGTAGAGGAATGGGACTCCAAAAACCTGGGATAAAATTAGACAGCATCGTCGGAGGATCCGAGATGACTTCAATCTGGATGTGGATGAGTTGCTTCGATTTTCGAGCGACAAGGAAGTCTTCACAAATAATGAGGAGAAGATTATTCGTGGAGTAGGTGATCTATCGGAGCGATTTGATAAGCTCTTCGACATCCTTTTGACCAAGAACGTAGATAGGATTCCCCTCTTCCTCGAGACCCTTTCTGCCATGGGGAGGAATGACATCAGGATGTTTTTACAAGGTATGAGAGATTTCCACCCCTGAAATTTCAGATTTACCTTACAAATAGAGGTTTGGAAGGGGATTGAGGGAAACAACATTTAAAATTGCCATTGCCTTTGTCGAAAGCTCGTGGTGTTACCATACATCCTAGTGCTCAAAATTTGCTTGGAAAACTTGGCAATATTTACCATATTGGAAATTGTGCAACTCAGTTTTTTATGAACGTAGTAAAAAATGCATTTCATAAAGCGACTTTATATTGTCTCAGCTTTAGTTAGTGTGCAAAAACGCTTTCCTAGTTCGACCAGGACAGATGATAGCCCTTTAAGCTAAACGTGACTTTTCTTCTTCAGGGCTAAGTTCGAGGCCGTATATCTTGAAAACTGTTAAAGTTAGAGGCAACTTTTTTTCCCATTAGTCTTGATAGCCAGCATGCAATACATTTTGCAAATGAATCGGAGCCTGAAGCGCAACCGTCCTGTGACTGCTTGAGCTGAAATGCCTTTGATGTTTTCTTCTTTCTCATCAAATTGCCTCAATATATCCGTGTTGACACATTATTTCCCTAGACAATAGACAACTTTTTGGGAACGCCATTGTGAAAGCATCCCCGGTTCGTGTGACCTTAATTGTGGCCCCAAATCTGAATAAATCAGTTTATTAATACTTTGTGCAATATTGTGTAAAGCAATAGTTCCTCACTTAATTTACACCGTTCAAGCTTGTCAGTAAAAGTGTTCAGACAACATAACTTTTGTCTCTTGAGATGTGCCTTTCCGATATAAAATTTGCTAATCGCCCTCACGGAAATGATGGGTTTCACTTTCACGGAAAATGGGAGATTTACATTCGTCTCGCCAAAATGTGTTGTATGTTTTGGCATACCATCCCTATCCCTCACACGAAAAACAATTTTGGCTGGTTTCTTCGGAATTGATATTCCTAGTTTTTCCATTCGACGTTAAGTCACTGATGGGCATTTTAGGAAGATTAAGTCGCACATTTTGATGCATCGCGAAACGTCTCTCAGTATGCCTTATTTTGGATGTCATTTGATGCAATGGAAAGTGATGAAATCCAATTTAGTAAGTCAACTGAAACCACAAAGCTGCTCACATGAAACTGGAGAAAATTTCATTTTAAAGAGCAGTCCTTACCAAAGTAGACTAACAGAGGAATAGCGAAAGGAAGTTCTATGTGGTATTTTGCTTGATAGCAGAAGTGAACTGAAATCTTCTCATGAAAGAAGAAAATTTGAAAGACTAATCAGGAGGTTGAAACTGAAAGTTTCCAGATACTGACAACTGAAATCTGCTATTTCTTTTAAATTTCATCTAAGTATTATTCTTGAGCATTAATGCCGTCTTTCATCCTTCCAAACCATTTCTCAAAGCATTTCTTCCACGTAGATGTCGGGATACCCGAGATCGTTGAAATAAATTCAGCAACTGTTTCCTTTGGAGTCTGAAGTGCCATCCACAAAGCGATTCTTTAACTTTTCGGAAGAGGAAAATGTCATTCGGGGTCAGGTTTCGACTACAGGGTGGGCCTTAGAGTATCCTGATGCCAGACTCATGCAGCAAATTCGAAGTGAATCCATCAGGCTGTGACTGAATGCGTTGCCATGATGCATATGATTTCACGTGTGACTTGGGCCTTATATTCATCAAAGTTTTGAACACCTTTGGGGGACAATATCCTGGGTACCACTTCCAGTTCACAGCTGTTTGACCCCGAAAAGGTATGGTCACCATGTGACCCATTAAAGGAGAGAAACTAGCCACCATTTGTCATCCCACACTTCTGGGCCGCTTAACCATGGTTTGACTCGGCTCACCAGGGAATAGCCAGACAGTGGAATCAATTTGATGCCTTTTCTCTTGGGTCAAATTGATGTATCCCGAATTAATTTCCTGTCATGATTTTTTAGATGGCTCTCGAAAACTCGGAGTCGAACTTCTGGAGCATGAATTAACACTGTGCCACCTAGGCCTCCTTTTGATATGGGGCGAGATCATTAGGGACCCATCGGCTGGTGACCCTCCTCAGACCAAGATGTCTACACAGGATGTCATGCAGTGCTGCTGACTCAGCCCCAAGTAGTACCTGAATGTCCTTATATTATAATTTCATTGTTACCTTCGACCATCTTCCATGCAATGGTCGCATTTCCATCTGTCAATGCAGTTGGTATCCACACACGGCTCATCCTTCGAGAACAACCTTCCTCCCCTCCCGAAATTCCGGGAATCACTCAAACTTTCAAAATTTGTAGAGAAACATAACTTGAATCAAAACCATAACATTTGACTAAACAATGTACAAAAAATTTGACCCTGTACTAAGCACAAACCCATAAAAATTAAGATCCCCAAAAAAACCATAAGGTCTATGACCACATATGAGGCATTCCGGCTCAAGTAAACGAAATCGTGGCTGCGTGTGCGATTTCTTGACGATAATGCATGCATGCATGCCTTCCCATCTCCCTGAGATGGGAAGGCATTCCAAATTTCGGAGCTTTAGTCCACAGTGGTTTAGAGTGGTTTTCAACCAGTGTGCCGTGGAGGTGCCGCAGGTGGGCCGTAACAAGTATCAGTAACTTAAAAAATGAAATTACTTAGTGTACCTAGTAGTGCCGGGAATATCATTACTTGTTGCCCTTCGTTTTTGTCGCCTGTGTGCCTAGGGTTCTGGTCTCGTCGTGACGTCCGGCGGCGATAATGTTTGTAAATTATCAGATACAACCGTATTATACTTTTAATCCTCTAAGGGATCGTTGAATGTCATCTGTATTTCTCTCCTTTGAAGGGAGAGGGTCACTTCCCCTTTGATCCCTCCGCCAGACAGAGGGCTGTGGTGATCCTATGGAGAGGGGACAGGCATCATGTATGAATGATTTTACAGATTTAAATAAATTGTTTGCTTTTAAGTCCTCGGATTACTTTGCGGTTGTAAAGGTGGTCCGTGGAATCAGTAAGATTGAGACGCGGTGGTTTAGAAGCCCTAATGTTCGCCCACAGGAGGAAAAGTCACCCCCGAAGGTCAGACGGCTGGCTTTGGCCCTAGTTGAACTAGGAAAAAAAATTGTGTTGAGCTCAAATGAAAGCTGAGACTAAGCTTAGATTTTACAGGTTCTTGCTTTACGTAGTTAGCCTTTTTCTTAATACGATACGGTTTTTTTTTTTTTTTAAAGAGGGAATAATGGTAACGCTATGAGTTAAAATACAATAGATTATAACAATGGATGAATTTGAACTGTTTACTTTGGAACAACGGGAAGGTTAATTTGAAAACTGCAATGATGTCATCCTCTACTATTTTCACGGATTTCATAACATGTCAGCAAGGCAAGAATGCCAAATGGAAGTTCCCTCTAGGACACTTCTGACGATGTATTATGTTACTTTGTCGTTTTTTCGCGATATTTTGCGCTTCAAAACATACCTTGAAACCTAATTTACCAAAAATTACAAAGTTACCTAATTTTACCAAACTTCCTAAGCATGATGATCATGGTGACCAACAGGCATACTCCGACAGAGATCAGTGAAGAGCTCAGTTCATTTATCCCGCATTGTTTCAATTATGAGAGAATCAGAGCCTGAAATGTTTCATCTTCCTGAAACTCCCTTTCTTTCTTTTGCAGGTGGTAAATCTGAATTATAGGGGAAATCGGGGAATTCTGCAACGACTTTGGATCCTCACTATTTGTTCTTTCGTTTCATTGGAACTGATGATGAGAAGCACTGAAGTATTGCTCTCATTAGAATGTCGAGAGTTTAATTTTGTCGTGATCAGACTTCATGATGAGCATTCGGCTCATTCCGCACCCCTTCTGCTGAAGTCGCAACTCTTTCCTGGGAATTCCACAACCCTTACTTCTTCCATATGCATTCACCCTTCAAGGCCGAAACTATTAGTTATTAGCCCTTAGACTTTGAAATAATGGATAGTTGTTCTTCCCTTCTTCAGATTTACCAGGAGTTCATGTATAAAGTATAAAACAACATCTTAACCTAATAAAGCGAAAAAAAGTCTCCGAGATTCCCTATAACAAGAATTTCTTTTGTCTCTTCTCTTGGCTATTTCTCTGCAATGGCAATTGGGGCCTCAACGTTTTTTTTTAAGGGTAAGGACATCTAACATGAATCGTAAATTCTATTAGTGGAATTATTTTATTTCAAGACTCTACTACTCTCTATTTCCAAAGTTGAAATATAATTTCCCAACCCCCCTCTACTAGTATTTTCATGTTTGGTTATTCATGGCATTACATGTATTTTGGAGTCCCATGCAATCCCATCTTGCCAGACTTCATGACGTTAATTGCCGCATATGCATATTCCTGTAAATACTTATTGCTTGTCCAAGCCTTCTTGAGGATTGTTATTGGTTATTTCCCTTGTCCTTTGGTTCTTGCTGGTTTTTTGGTATTAGCATTGGGGCTTCCCATTTCTTTGCAAATGGCAATATCACAACTTTGTATTGCAAGTCGGATGCGACCTGCATAAGCACGACACAAGACCGAGCGATGAGTGTGAAATTAAGAAACTTTCCGTCAAGAGAATATATGAAATAATCCAGCAAGTCATGGAATTCACCTATAGTTAATTTTCCGATCAGGAAAATCCGCAACATCTGTACTGCTGATACCCAAGGAGTACACGTGCGAATCACCACTTATTCAATCCTAACACCATCAAAGAACGTAATGGCGGTGCAGTCTACCTCGCCATACGTCCTAATGCATATTTATAGATAATGTTCTACTCATGTCGCACAATCGGACTCACGCTATAACGCATGGTCTTCAGCGAGGAGGAATACCTTGCTTCCGTTGTCCACACGTCATTATCTACCCAGTTGAGATGAAAGAGCTGTGAGCGCAGTGATATCACAGTACATATGGCGCTATTCATTAAACCAGATGGGGTACTTCTTGGGGTTCTTACAGGAAAATGGAACAACGGGAAAGTTATATGTTACGAAATTACCCTCCCGTTTCAGGAGCGTTCCGGAATTCCCAACTTTGCCAGAGAAATACTTTATGAAGCTGACAGTGACATTTTCTCACCAGGTTAAGCATTTAGACTTGCATGCACTGTATATTTACACTTATCGAGAAAGACACTCCAGCAACTAAAGCCTTGTTACGTAAAAGCAGCTCCCCAAGTCCGGATTTCGATTGTGTTACAGATTCAAGTTTATGGGAGATAGTAGGATCACATTAGGCCGCTTGACGAAGGCAAACCAATATCGTAAGGTGTATTCAACTAATAGGGCAAAATCTTAAGGAATACGACGGTCCAACTATATTCCATGGTTTAGGATTCACTATCATGCAGTATTGAAATCAACTTCTCAAGAGTGTTCATTTTACGATAGGCTGAACCTGGGAAATCGATTCACGAAGTTGGTCTGTTCTTCTCAAGAGACATATTCTACCGTTGAACTCTTTCCTAGCTGATTTAAGGCCTAAGGTAGCCGTCTGACCATTAGGGTGACTTTTCTTATGAAGGGCTATTTGGGGTATCATGTCTTCTAAACCCTTTGGGCTAGAGCTCTGAAATTTGGAATGCCATTGTATCTGAGTGAGGTCATCATGGATGAAGTTCTTAATTAAAATCCCAATCCCAGTAGGCTTCAAAAATGTGTTCTGCGTGTCAGGTAACCGAATTGAATGTGGACATATGCCCAAGGCATGGGGAAGATGATGGTGCCATTGAGAGCGTCACTTATCCTATTCTTGGCATTATGATTGGTAAAAATTTGATTAGTTTCTGCTAGAAACGAGTGCTCCACAATCTCAGAAAAAAACTTTGGGCGAAACGGCTTTTCCTCTCCGTGATCTATAATGGTTCTAACGAACACGAATATATGATCAATTGGAGATTATTCGCGTGATGAGAATTTATCTAGCCCCTTACCCCGTCAAACACTAAATTTATGTGGATCCTTTCGACATAACATTCCGCATCATATTCCCTCTCATTATTGCGACTTCAGTTGGGTTTTTCGCAGCTGGACACAATAAAAAGTGATATGCGTTCGAAGATTTTCGTTCTTGTTTGAGAATCTTCTCGCAACCAAATAGATTTGGCAGTTGGGCCTTTTCCTCGTAAGGAGGGACAACTCTTAGGGAAAATAATCTCATTATCTCCTTCCTCCTTCTCCCCATCGATGATCCCCGACTATATAAAGAAGAATTTCATGCAACAAACGACATGTGTATTCCATTTTAAACGATCCAGAAGTATTTGCGGCGCCAACTGGGATTTAGCTGTAAGAAATCGAGGTTATTGATGGTCATGAAATATTCATGAATCTGATGTTGAAGTTCTGGGTCAGCGGTCTCCAAGATAACCCATTTAAGTTTTAGGAAACAAGGACGAATCAGGGGTACCATGTGTGTTCTACCGCACAACTTCACACCTATCTTGTTCATGGAGGAAAAAAGTGAACAGAGAATAGAGCCCATGGGCAAAAAACTCTCTAGTTTCTAAAATACTGCATATCGAGCTCACTGGAGTTTTTTATTGTCAAGTTTGGAAATCTGAGGGATTCTTTATATGAGGCATGTTCGATTAGTATGGTAATAAGGTCTGCAGCGGCGAAGTTATTGCTTAGATCGAGATACTTGTTTCGTGGTGTCATGTAGCGGTTGTGAGAGTTTCGTTGCACTCGTGGATTGATCGCTGTGTACAATTTTGCGGATACCCGACAAGCCAAGACGGCCCTCCTAGAAATGTGGCCACCCATTGAAGTGCGGAGTGTCATCCGTTTTCTTCATTCAAGAGACGCCACAAGAGACGTTCATTGCCAATTCGTAGTAGGGGCGAATATGGGCGAACCATATTTTCGAAGTTTAATCCACCCAAAGTACAGAAATGTGCAACATGCATCGCCTTGAAGCTTACAATCTAATGATGAATTTTCGGCCAGTCGTCCTCAATTCCGAGTGTGTGGAGGCAAGATAGCGGTTGCATTTAGAAATGGCTACTTACGCCCAAACAATGAAATAGTGATTAACCCATTGTCCCATAATGGTGTGTCTGGTATCTAAATAGGAGCATTTAAGATTAAGGAACCTAGTTTTGATTGATAAACTTTGCTTGAACGCATCAATTTACGTAACTCAAGTGAATTTGGAAATGGCCTCCAATCCTATCTACAACATACAATGAAAGAAAAACTCTAATCGCACAAATTAATGTTTTCCAAAATGCAAGTATATTGTGTCGAAGAGTTCAGTCCTCATATGCAAAGCACTTTAAACTGCAACAATACTAATATGGCAGCATATCTTCAAAATGGGAACCTGTAGAAGTTAACAATTTTATTTGATTCTCCCCATGAACCAAACATATTCACTTTTGAGAAATAGGGCTACCAATTCACTTGTAATATTGTGATCAGGTATTATTCATTTACATGTATATTGTAAATAGTTTCACATCATCGGCATCCACTATTTCATGGGTCATCCCATTGCCACAGGCTTCAGCACCTTTGCACAAATATAATTCCGTGCAATTATTACCACTGCTGATACAGCTGTAGTCTCTTATATATGGTTTGCTGCTGCGACGCGAGCACAAGAAGTCGTCCAACATTTCTGCAGCAGCTTTTCCCTCAAATAATTTAGGCTTCCTTCTCTCACCCGCTTTGTACTATCCTTGTCCTTCCAGGAATGGAAAGGTTGGGTACTCAGTGTGTGCGGGCATCTATATGAAATTTTGATGAGAGGCGCGCTTCACATATCCAGAAAAACTGCGCTCTGATGAAGGCAGCTATTTTAAATTGTTTTTTTTTTTTCGTTTTCTGCCAGTCGCGCTCTCATTTAATTTAGGTCATCGTTGGTGTCTGTATGCGTACCGATGGGATCGCATAGAGCCGCCACCAATATTCTTGACACATCTTCAGCTGCTTCCGCATCACTAGTACCCAATACCTCAAGTAGCGTAGGTATTCTTGTCGCTGTAGTGCCTCCAAAGAAATCCGCACTTTCTTTTTGCCATGACCACAAACTGTGTCGCAGCCAGCGACGCATGAAGAGCAGGAAGAATCTTCAATATATCAATGTTAAGCTTGGGGCAGCTGTCATGAACAGGGATCGACCGTTGGGGATAGCTGTTGCCTTGGTATTCCCATTTCCACCCGAAGTGTTTCAGTGTTGTGGATTTGGGGAAAGTAATTCACAGCCAGCACTTAAAACACAGCATCATGTGACTTTAATGTAACGTCTCCTCGAATGTTTGCCGAAAGAAAGTTTTTTGTTTGCGAACATTGCATGGAAAAAGCTCATTGTTCGTGCCTTTTCGTGAGAGCAAAATACAGAGGTCGTCAAAATTAACGTACCGGGGTATTCTCAAAAGATAGGAAACCTATCCTGCTCATAAGTATTGCATCGAAAAATTGTCCATGGGTGCTGATCCCGTATTAAAGGGGTAACTCTAGCTCCTCGGACCGTAGTTTCCCAGGTGTCTCTTCCGGCATGAAGTAAAATGCAATTTTCAGTGAAGGATCGCTACAAAATTGAAATTGTCTTTCGCTACGAAATGCTACGAAATTGTCTTTCTTGCGACTCATCCTTTGGGTCCAAAGCTCTCTCCTGCCGCCATCGCGAAGCAAAAGAAGACTTCAAAGCAAATGGTGTCCCGTTGGCTTAAAATATATTGAGAGAGAGAGGAACAGTGGAGGATGTAGACGGAAGAAGTCAAAAACCTGTGACGCCATCGAAAGTGGACCGACATATCTTGAAGCTCGCCGAAGGGGCGATGAAGCTCTTGTCCACTGAAATTGCAGCAGCCCTAGATGGGAGAGGTTTCCCAAAGTACAATTCAACGACGGTTGCGCTCATCAGGGATGCGATATGGTCCAGCACTTCAAAAGCCGCTCCTCAGGGTAGATCATGAAAAACGGCGAATCCGCTGGTCCAACAAACATCACCACCAAGATTGATCCCAGGTGATATTTGCAGTTGAGACCACCATAGTCCTGAG